GTGTATCAGGATCTTTTTTTTTTATTTTTTTTTTCTAGTTTCAATTTCTTATTTGAATTAGTTTCTTTTGCTTTATTTGTTTTTCTAATTGCCATTTTTATTTCGACTGATCGCTTTCTTTTTTGGAACTAATTTTGTTTTGTTGTTGTTTTAAAAGATCTTTCCTTCTTTCTTTTTTCTTTATTTCATTTTTGGAGCGGATTTTTCTTCTTTGCTGTTTTAACAGAGTTTTCTTTGTTTCTTTGTATCTTTTTCTCTTAGAACTAATTTTTCCATTTTGTTGTTTTAAAAAATCTTTCTTTCTTTCTTGGAACTATTTTTTGTTGTTTTTAAGGATCTTTCTTTCTTTTTTGTTTCTTTCTGCGAACTAATTTTTCTTTTGTTTTCAAAGATCTCACTTTCTTTCTTTCTTTCTTTATTTTTGAGTACTAATTTTTCTTTTCTTTTGTTTTCAAAGATCTCACTTTCTTTCTGTCTTTCTTTCTTTCTTTCTTTTTTCTTGAAAATAATATTTCTTTTTTGTTCTGTTTCAGAATTTTTCTTTCTTTCTATTTTAGGACGGCTTTATATTTTCATTCTTTATTTCATTCGTTCTTTCTTTCTTTCTTTCTTACTTTCTTTCTTTTACCTTGTTTCTTTCTTATGACTGGTTTTTACTATCTTCAGTTTTCTTCTTTTTTTCTTTCTTTCTTTCATTCTATCTTTCTTTTTTTTGCTTTTTTCTGCCATTTTTTTCAAATCGCTTCTTTCGTTGTTTTAAAACCTTCATTTGATCTTTCTTCCATTCTTTCTTTCTTTCTTTTTTTTCTTTCTTTCTTTCTGTTTTAGGATGGCTTTATATTTATTTAATTCGCCTTTCTACCTTTCTTTTCTCTCCTTCAGCCTTTCTTTCTTTCTTTCTTTCTTTCTTTTTTTTCTTTCTTTCTTTCTGTTTTAGGATGGCATTATATTTATTTAATTCGCCTTTCTACCTTTCTTTTCTCTCCTTCAGCCTTTCTTTCTTTCTTTCTTTCTTTCTTTCTTTCTTTCTTTTTTTCTTTTTTTTCTTTCTTTCTTTCTGTTTTAGGATGGCATTATATTTATTTAATTCGCCTTTCTACCTTTCTTTTCTCTCCTTCAGCCTTTCTTTCTTTCTTTCTTTCTTTATTTTTTTTTTTTTTTTTCTTTCTGTTTTAGGATGGCATTATATTTATTTAATTCGCCTTTCTACCTTTCTTTTCTCTCCTTCAGCCTTTCTTTTCTTCTTTCTTTTTTTTTTTTTTCTTCTTTCTTTCTGTTTTAGGATGGCATTATATTTATTTAATTCGCCTTTCTACCTTTCTTTTCTCTCCTTCAGCCTTTCTTTCTTTCTTTCTTTCTTTCTTTTTTTTTCTTTCTTTCTTTCTGTTTTAGGATGGCATTATATTTATTTAATTCGCCTTTCTACCTTTCTTTTCTCTCCTTCAGCCTTTCTTTCTTTCTTTCTTTCTTTCTTATGACGACTTTTTATTGTCTTCATATTTCTTCTTTCTTTCATTCTATTTTTTTGATCTGCTTTTTTTTCTCCATATTTTTATTTCCAATATTTATTTCGTTTTTCTATCTTTTTTTCAGTTTTTTTTTCATTTCTTTTCATGCTGAACTTGCTTTTCCCATCATCAATTTTTTTGCTTCGATTTTCTGTCTACTTTCATTTGAAAAGGATTTTTCCTGTTTCTCTTCCTGTCATGTTTTCTCCCCTTCCTGTTTAAGATTTCCTCCATTGATATATTCATCTTTTTCAAGCTCTGTCATAAGTAACCATCTCTCTGTATTCATCAATTATTTCCGGCAAAGCTTAACACTGGCTTCGATTCTCCCTGCCATAATTCTATGGATATTCCCACCTTCTTCAGTTTTGCCTCTCACTTCCCAAGGCCTCTCTTTACGTCCTTTCAACATTTTATATGTTGCTAAACATTTTCTTCCATTTCTCCACGCCATACCCTTGTGTCGTCTGCATTCTTTGATTTCTATTCGTCCTTTTTTTTTTATTTCACTCATCTGCTCTTTATATTTAAATTCAATGCCTATCCTTTTTTCTAATCGGCCACTTCTCCGTTCTTTATCCGAAATTCTCAAACGCATTACAATACCCTCAGTAGTATTCTGATCACAACGGCACCAAGATTTTGACTTGGTTTTTAACACTTGCTTTGCAAAATTTTCTTTTTCTTTCCTCAAATACGTTACAAATTCTTTTTTCCTTTCTTTCATTTTCTTTCTTTCTTTTTTTTTCTTTCTTTCTTTCTGTCAACTCTTCTGTTTTTCTCATTAATAAAAATGAATGACATTTCACTGTTGTTTTTGTTTTCTTTTTTAAATATTTATTTGACTTGTTTTGTTTTAATATTATTTTTATTCGCATGTTTCATTTTTCCCATTTGGCATTCTTTCTTTTTTTTTTAATTTCTTTGTTTCGTTTTCTTTCTTTTCCTTTACGAATTATCTTTCTTTCTTTTTTCTTTTTCTTTTCTTTTTTTTTCGTTTTTCATTTTCTTTTTCGTTCGTTTTCTTTCTTTCCTTCTTTCATTTTTTCTTTCTTTCTTTTCTTTCTTTCTTTCGTTTCCTTATTTTTTCTAATATTTTATTTATTTATTTTACTTTCTTTTTCTTTTCTTTCTTTCTTTTTTTTTCTTTCTTTTCTTTCTTTCTTTCTTTTCTTTCGTTTTCTTTCATTTTCTTTCGTTCGTTTCCTTCTCACATTTTCTTTCTTTCTTTCGTATGGTGGCTTCCCATTGCTTGCTTCTTTCTTTCTTTCTTTCTTTCTTTCTTTCTTTCTTTCTTTCTTTCTTTCTTTTCTTTCTTTCTTTCTTTCTTTCTTTCTTGGTGGCTTTCTTTTTCTTTCTTTCCCTTCTTTCTTTCTTCCTTTCTTTCTCCTATCTAATGTCCTATTTCTACTCTCGCTCACTTTGACCTTTTCTTCATACTCTCTTTTCTTTTTTATTTTCTCTATTGTTTCTCATCGTCACGGCCATTAATCCCCTCCCTATCATTATGGCTATCACGCTCGTAATTATATTCACCTGCCTTAGTTCCGAAATGTTTTCAGCCATATTTCTTCAACATTATTCACTGTTTCATATTCATTATTTACGTTTTCTTGTAATTTTTCCGTCTCTTGAAATTCCATCTTTGTCCCGCCTGCCACCCGATACCGGCTTTGAACTGAAAGGAACTTAGCAATTTGTAGCAACTCATAGCAATTCTTTTTGCAACATTATATTAACGCTTAGATTTCATTTTATATTCGACTTTGTCATTTTTTTTTTAAATATCTGCCTCCGCGACCCTTTCTTTTAAACACTGTTTGCAACTTTTTTTTCTTTTTCTTTAAGCTTTTCTTTTAAAAGTTTAAGGGAAACAGGCTTCATTTGTTGTTCGATTTCATTTTAAAGGCTGTTGACGTCGTTTTTTGAAAAAAACAAAAACAAAAAAAAAAAGAAGCTAAACAAAACTAAAAAACAAACTTTTTAGTGCGCCACAGTAATAAAAGAGTTAATGGATAAAATTTATGACCGATATCCGGGAAAAGAGAAAATGTACATAAATTAGTCGAATTTGAAGAGAAAAACAGAGTGGTTTACAAGGAGGAGGAGGAGAAGAAGAAGAAGAAGAAGAAGAAGAAGAGGAAGAAGAAGGAGTAGAAGAAGAAAAAGAAAAAGAAGAAGAAGAAGAAGAAGAAGAAGAAGAAGGGAATTAGTAAAAAATCCGATGTTTAAAATAGCTGAATAGGAGAGAAGAAGAAAGTAAAGAAAAGGAGGCTAACTCAAGAAGAAGAAGAAAAAGAATGAAGGGGGAGAGAAAGAGGGAGAGAGAGAGAGAGAGAGTGAAAAACGGAGTCAGTAAAATAGAGTTGATGTTGAGTAAAAGGAGAGAAGGAGAAAAAAATAGAGGAAAGAGGAGAAACTCTAAAGGAGGTGAAGCAAGGAGAAAGACGCGGAGAGAGAGAGGGGCGGCCAGCAAGAGTGTGTGAGAGGAGAAAGCGCGCGCGCGAGTGAGAGAGAGAGAGAGAGAGAGAGGAAATCAGTAAAGAATCTATGATGTTCAAAAGAAAAAAGGAAAAGGAGAAAAGCGAACAAAGTAAACGAAAGAGAAGAAACTCATTTCAAGTAGAAGAAGAAGAAAAATAAGAAAGTAAAGAAACGGAGGCATACTCAAGAAGAAGAAGAAGAAGAAGAATGAAAGGCGAGAAAGAGAGAAAGAGAGAGAGAGAGAGAGTGAAACGGAGTTAGTATAATAGAGTTGATGTTGAGAGAAAGAGGAGAAACTCAAAAGCAGGTGAAGTAAGGAGAAAGACACGGAGAGAGAGCGAGAGAGAGGGGGAGCGAGAGAAAGAGATAGAGAGAAAAACGGAAACTGTAAAGAATCTATGAAAGAAAGAAGGAAAATGAGAAAAGCGTATAAAGTAAAGGAAAGAGAGAAACTCAACTCAAGAAGAAGAAGAAGAAGAAGAAGAAGAAGAAGAAGAAGAAGAAGAAAGGGAGTCTAACTCAAGAAGGAAAAAAGAATGTACGGCGAGAAAGAGAAAAAGAGAGAGAAAAACGGAGTTAGTAAAATAGAGTTGGTGCTGAGTAAAATGAGAGAAGAGAAAGAGGAGAGACTCAAAAGAAGGTGAAGTAAGGAGAAAGACACAGAGAGAGAGAGAGAGCAAGCGAGCGAGAGAGAGAGAGTGAGGGAAAAGGCGGGAGAAAGAGAGAGAGAGAAAAACGGAATCAGTAAAGAATCTATGATGCTCAAAAGAAAAAGGAAAATGAGAAAAGCGTACAAAGTAAAGGAAAAAGTAGAAACTCAACTCAACAGGAGGAGGAGGAGGAGGAGAAGAAGAAGAAGAAGAAGAAGAAGAAGAAGAAGAAGAAGAAGAAGAAGAAGAAGAATGAGGGACGAGAAAGCGAGAAAGAGAGAGAGAGTGAGTGAGTGAGAGAGAAACAGAGTTAGTAAAATAAAGTTGATGTCGAGTAGAAGAATTGGAAAAGCTAAATGTTATGTGGGAGAATATTTCGCTAAAATTTTGGACTCAGTCGTCGGACATAAAAATACTCCTACATCAAGAGGAGGATCACATAGCTTTTGCTGAAAAGTTATTCATTCACGGCTGAACATTCTCTTCCCTAATTTCTATTCTACATTGTATTTCCCTGTACGAAAAGGTAATAAACTTGTTAAACCAATTCCGGTTTTCTACTGTTGTGTTTAATAACTCACTTACAACAGTTTGGCGACGAGGATGAGATCAAACTTGTAGGTAAATATTCTCCCTTACAACACTAAGTAAAGAAAAGGAGAAAAAAGAATGAAAAAAAAAATGATGTGAAGAAAATCTGAAACGAAGCGTGAAAAATAAAAAAGAATTAGAAAGAAAGAAAGAAAGGGGAAAAAGAAAAAAGAAAGAAATAAGGTGACATCGGAAAAGAAACAGAATAATGGAAGAAAAACAGAAACATATCGTTGCAAAAATGTTAAGGAAAATAAAAATGACTAATAAATAATTTTCGATAATATTTGAGAGAAGAGGATGCCCTCATCGTAGAGCAAAGGTTAATGAGCTGTCCTACCGTAATATTAAAGTCAGTGAGAGTCTTACATTTGTGCCCATGCGCGGTATTGGGCTCAGTAACTATCGATAAAGCAAAGAAAGGAGAAAAGAAAGAGGAGGAGATGATTATGAGAAAATAGAAGAAAATGGCGTCGATTTTAAAGTAGGCTTAGCCGAAGAATAATCGTACAGGAGAAAAGTTGAGCGTGTAAGTGTTGATGATAATAATGACCGAATCAATTTTCGAGTTGATAGGATACGAGAGAAACGTTCTCATAGAGAGAGAATTCTAAAGAGTAACTTCAGAAAATATGTGAAAATGGCGAAGCGGACATTGGGAAAAGAGAATGAAGTGCTTGATAAAATAAAATAAAAAAAATAACAAGAATCTATTAAGGAAATTGATGATGGAAGAGGAAAGAAAAATATGAAGAATAAAAAAAGAATAGATGTATCGGGTAATTCAAAAGAAGTAGAAAAAAAAGCATAATTGGAAGAAAGAAGAAGAATAATTTCCAGGAGGAAGAATAGAAAGTAGTAGGAGGAGGAGGGGAAATAAGAAGGAAGACAAGAAGGAAGGAAGGATGTAATTTGAAAATAAAGAAGAAGAAGGAGAAACTTGGTCAAGTAAGGATAGTTAAAATAGAAAATCAGCAGTAGAAGAAGAAACAAGGAAGAGGTCATTGGAAGGAAAGAGAAGAAGAAGAAGAAGAAGAAGAAGAAGAAGAAGAAGAAGAAGAGGCCATTTGTAGGATGAAGAGGATAAGGAAGAAATCGAAGTGTAACTTGTGAAGAAAAGAAAGGAAGTGAAGCAGAACTGGAAGTGGGGAGAAAAGGAATATAATCGGAGGGAAAAAAGGTAAGAAGAAGAAGAAGAAGAAGAAGAAGAAGAAGAAGAAGAAGAAGAAGAAAGAGATAACTGGAAAGAAATAGAATAACTCGAAAGAAGAAGAAAGAGGAGGAGAAGTGGGAGGAGGAAAAGGGGAGAATATGCAGGAAGAAGTAGGAGGATAACTTAAGAAGAGGAGGAGGAAGAGGAAGAGGAGGAGAAGGAGAAGGGAAGAAGAAGAAGAAGAAGAAGGGAAGAAGAAGAGTAGGATGTGGAGGAGGAGGAAGAGATAGAGAAGAGGAAGAGGAAGAGAAGAAGAAGAAGAAGAGAAGAAGAAGAAGAGTAGGATGTGGAGGAGGAGGAAGAGAAATAAAAGAGGAGGAGGAGAAGTAGTAGTAGCAGTAGGAGTAGTAGTAGTAGTAGTAGTAGTAGTAGAAGAAGAAGAAGAAGAAGAAAGAGGTAACTGGAAGGAAAGAGAATAACTCGAAAGAAAAAGAAAGAGGAGGAGAAGTGGGATGAGGAAAAGGGGAGCATATGAAGAAGTAGGAGGATAACTTAAGAAGAAAAAGCACAAGGAGAAAAATGGGGGCATATGCAGAAAGTAGAATGAGAATAACTTAAGAAGAAGGAGGAGGAGAATAAGGGAAACGTATTCAGGAAGTAGTAGGAAGATTACTTAAGAAGGGGGAGGCGGAAAAGGAGAGCATATGCAGGAGGTAGTAGGATGATAACTTCAAAGGAGGAGGAGAAAGAGGAAAAGGCGTGGATACGCAGGAAGTAGTGGGAAGATAACTTGAGAAGGAGGAGGAGGAAGAGGGGAGCCTATTGCAGGTGGTGGTATAGTAGGAGGATAACTTAAGAAGAAAAAAGAGGCGGAGGAAAGGGGTAGAATATGCAGGAAGTAGGAGAAGGACAACTTAAGGAGAAGGAAAAGGGGAGCATATACAGGAAGTAGTAGGACGATAACTTGATAAGAAGGAGGAGGAAGAGAGGAGCATATGCAGGAAGTGGTAGGAGGATAAGAAGAAGAAAAAGAAGAAAGAGGAGGAAAAGGGAGCATATGCAGGAAGTAGGAGGGGGATGATAAGAAGAAGAAAAAAGGAGGGGGAAAAGCGAGAAAGTAGAAGGAAGATAACTTGATAACAAGGAGGAGGAGGAAAAGAAATGGATATGCAGGAAGTAGTAGGAGAATAACTTAAGAAGAAGAAGAAGAAGAGGAAGAGAAGGAGGAGGAGAAGAAGGGAAGAAGTAGGAGAAGGGAAGAAGAAGAAGAGTAGGATGTGGAAGAGGATGAAGAGAGAGAGAAGAAGAGGAAGAGGAAGAGAAGAAGAAGAAGAAGAAGAAGAAGAAGATGAGGTGGAGATGTTGTAGTAGTAGAAGAAGAAGAAGAAGAGTAGGATGTTGTGGAGGAGGAAAAGAAAAAGAAGAGGATGCGGAGAAGAAGAAGAAGAAGAAAAAGAAGAAGAATAAGAAGAAGAAGAAGAAGAAGTAGTAGTAGTAGTAGTCGTAGAAGAAGAAGATGAAGAAGAAGAAGAAGAAGAGTAGGATGTAGAGGAGGAGGAAGAGAAAGAGAAGCAGAAGAGGAGGAGGAGGAAGAGAAGAAGAAGTAGATGATGAAGAAGAAGTAGATGAATAGTGGAGGATATAGAAGTGCGTTACTTTAGAAGAGGGGGAAAAGTAATTGGGATGGAAAAATGGTAAATGGTAGGAGAAGGAAGAAGACCTTAGAGTGGGAAGTAAAGAAAGATAACCGGAAGGAAAAAGAAGGAAAAAAGAGAAAGACGAGAAGAAGTAGGAAGTAGGGGTAATGTATATAAAACGTGTATTAAATGAAAGAGTGCAGGAAGAGAATGCCGAGGAAGAAAATTGGGAAAAAAAAGTTGTAATGCTTAAAGAAAAATAAATAAATCAATGAAAAAAAAAGTGAAAAATTTGCTTTTGAACTAGATTTTTCCCCTTTCGACTCGCTTCCAAGAGATACGTTTAGGTTCTGTCAGCGACAAGAAAAATAGCCTTGCTAATTTAGTTATTATAAAGATAAATGCCCACATGTGTAAACCTGGCAAATATCTAGGGTTATACCGAATAATCGTCGTTGTCAGAAATATCTAGAAAGATAGCCCTTTTAGCATCCAATTTTCAGCTCTTAAAATATGTTCCATTAAATATATAAGAGGGATCTGGCGAGCTTATAGGATTTTCAGCTTCCCATTAACCACTTCTCAAGATTATTGAGGTTTTCTAATAAGCTAACATATAAAGAATCCATTTTTAAAACAGTATATATTTGACTAGAGGCACGGGGGAGTAATGGATAGCGGCTTGGATTAAAGAATTGGAGAGCCAAGTTCGAATCCATTAAATTCATATACGTGCTAATACTCTTGGGAAAGGTATGAATCCTTTTCAATCTCCCCCCCCAGCTATGGGTAAATAATTTCTATAGTTTTAGATGGCAACTGGTCTAGGAGACGGAGAACTCTGAATTCAAAACTTGCACAGGGTCGTTTGGGGATCTTGTGGCACGTAGTGCACCAGGTCTCTGTATTCGGTCCTTCAAAAAGTGTGGTTGGTTCTGTACAAAGCCTTCACCCCTATAATCAAATCATATGTACTGGTGTCTGGGCTGTCGGTTCCTAGGAACTGAGTTGCTTGGCCCTCATATGTCGATAAACGACGGAAGAGTCCACTATATATTCGGCTACCGGCTTAGGTAGAAAAAAATTCAAGATTCGAAACTGTATTCCTCTGATGTAGCTAAAACCATCATATAGACTGGCGTGCTTTTAGACCGATTCAACCGCATTAGCTCATCAAAATAAAGCAACATTGAATTATCCTTATGCCGGAAAATACATCTTTCTGGACGTTTTATATTAATATTCTTAACGTAAGCAAAGTAATTTTTTAAAGAATTAATGGATTTTTATCCATAGTTTGATATTATTTATTATTATGATATACGTTGTATTGAATAGAAACTGGTGTTTCAGTTGACGTTTCTGTTTTTTAAACAGGGTATTTTCGTCTAACGGTCTGCTTTTCAATACTAATTTTCAATACTGCTTTTCAATTCTGCGTTTCAATACTGATTTTTCAATACTGATTTTCAATACTGATTCTAAATACTGATTTTTTCAATACTTATAATCAATGTTGATTTTTCAATACTGATTTTCAATACTGCTTTTCAATACTGACTTTAAATAGTGACTTTTAAATACTGATTTTCAATACTGATTTTAAATACTGATTTTCGAATACTGATTTTTGAATACTGATTTTCAATGCTGATTTTCATTACTAATTTCCAATACGGCTTTTCGATACTGCTTTTAAATACTGATTTTCAATACTGATTTTCTATACTGATTTTAAATACTGATTTACGTAGAATACCTTCGTGGTTGAGTTGTTATAAAAGTACACTGGGCTATAAGATAGTTTCCCAAAGTTTCAAATCCTGTTAAAGCGCACGTTCTCTTAATAATACTCTCGAATCCGTTTTTAAGTGTATCCCCGCTCGTCCGCGAACAGGATGCCGAACACACTCTTGTCGAAGGACAAGAAGCCGAACAATCATAAAGCCAAACGGACAGAAGTATGAAAACATTCATAACTACGTAGTTTAATAACCAGTTCAGCAATTTAGTCACATTTTTTTTAATTAATTTTTTTTTATTATTTACATTATTCGGACTATTATCCTCATCTTCATTGCCATATTCAGTATATTTGAGAGTTGAGTTAAAGAGAAATAACTGAGATATCCGGAAGAGACATGGTACGTGGAACTAGAACAATATACCCGGTGGACGGAATAAAGTGTTTGGTTTGAAATTCCAATCACCTGAAGAAAGCCGGAGCGTACAGTGGCAGAAATGTTGTGAATATGGCAATGAAGGTGAGGATAAGAGTCAGAATAATGTAAATAATGTAAATAATCATAATACCTCATTTCAGAGATATAGACAGATAAATGTTTATTTATTACATATCACAACCTAAAAAATAAAAAGATACTATTACCGACAGTATAAAAATTATTTGTTCTTATAATAAAAATAAGGATTAGCGTTTCTAAGATTTGGGCACACAATTTTAAAATACTCTTATTTTTTTTTTGTCTGATTACATTAATGTTTTATGTGTACATTGTAAAGAAATCTATTTTTAAATAAGTGCGTTTCATGTGTCTATTTTTAAAATTTTTTTAGTCTGCCAAATGTTCATATTGTAGGAATAAAATGACTATCATATATTTTAATTTTTGTTTGTCTTTTCGGCCTCTTGTGCGTTCGGCTTTATGTCCGTTCGGCATTGTGTCTATTCCGTTTCTTGGCTTCGGCTTCTTGTCCTTCGGCAAAAGTGCATTTGGTATCGCGTCCGTGTATCATCCCCGCGAGAAACGATGAAGGTTAATTAAATGTATGGCAATTTGGAGGTCGATTCAATTCGATGTAAATATGACATGAAACTGTGACACCAACTCGAACGAACGATGGTCCAGCACTGTGTTTAAAAAGTGAGTTCCACGCTTACACAGAACAAGGGGCAAAGAAATGCTGAAACATCTTCAATAATTGCCCTGATAACACTAGGAGTTCTTTTGGGGCGTGGTTCTGGTGAGAGCTAACCTTAAAACTGAGAACTGAAAGTTTCACGATTTTAATAATATGATGTACATTCTTGTGAAAATTAATTGAAACAACTGTTTTAGTTTCCTTTCTTCCACCATACGGTCAGTTTTAGACCCACTGGAGTGTCAGGATGTATTCGATTTCTATTTTTCTTAGAGTAGGTCATTTGCAATGGTGTGCAGTAATGTGAATCTATTTTCGGGTGTATGATGAAATTTGTTTGGTCTTGAAAATACTGCATCATTCGTGATTGCATCAGATTTTCATCACGCTCAGACACTACTGTCTCGACTGTCGATTAGTTGTCCTACGGCAATTGTCTGCGATGGACGTTACTCCAAGGAAGCGTACGAAAATTGTAACGCTGCACAAACACAATGGAAAGCCTTACAAGTGAGAAAATCAAAGTACTGTAGACTGGAGTGGAAACTCTACTGATAAAAATCCAATCGAGAATCTGTGGCCAATCTGCAAGGAACGACTTTCTGGAATGGACATACGAAATACTAACATGCACACTGGGGCATTGGAAAAATACTAAAAGAGTAAATAATAACGGAATTATTCGTGTTGTTTCAATTAATTTGCACAAGGGTGTATCTTAATAAGGAATGGATAATCTCATGCCGAATTCTACGACAATAAAATAATCGTAGAAATTTCCCCATCGCATCGTTCAATATTTGAGCTTAACAGCTTTAACAAGACATTGCAATAACAATGATAAATAGCAATGCTGGTCTTTTTTCTAAGAAATGAAAAGATTTGAAATTGGTAACTTTTTCCATTTCAGCAAAAAAGATGTTAAACACTTTTATCTTCTCTTCTTTGTTTCATTTTCTCACTGAAACCAAGTAGCGCTTTTGATATCCTTTGTCTTCTCACACGATCAAAACAGAATTGTCCATAATTTATGAGGTATTAGCAGAGGACTTTAAACAATTCTTTCTTTTTTTCACTGAAACCAATGTTCTGTCTACTCACGCAATCACAACGGAATTGATCATAATTTATGAAGTATTATCAGAGGACTTTAAACACTTCCTTCTTTCTTATTTTCACTGAAATCAAGTAGCGTCACTTATATGTCCTGTCTTCACACACGAACAAAACGGAATAGTCTATAATTCATGAGGTATTAGCAGAGGACTTTAAACACTTCTTTCTTTCTTATTTTCACTGAAACCAAGTAGCGTCTCTTATATGTCTTGTCAGACCAGGTGATCAAAACGGAATAGTTCATTATTTAAGAGGTACTGACAGAGCGTAACAGTCGTGCGAACTAACGAAGGTATGGAGAAGCACACTTATTATAAGATAATAATAATAATCGCATAAGGATTGAGATGTTATTTACCTCTACTAGTGCATATAGAATGCCGGATTGTTATGCAGTATCAGTCCTCTTGTGGCAGTGAATGCGTGACAATCTCCTCACAAATGAACAGTAAATTAAACGTAACATAAGTGTTGTACAGAATGATACTTAAAATATCGTGGATGGATCGCTTGAACATCAAAAACGTATTAAAGAAAATGGAACGCGAAGTGGATACTTATATTCGGAAACAGAACCAGATAGCTGAAATATCTTGGACATTGTTGAAGCTTAAATAAGCATGGAATAATACAACACAAAATGTACGTTAACAAAATGTATTGAAACAAAGAATAGGTACACAATATTTACAGTTAGTTTGGTATATTCTTGGGAAGACTGTTCCTGCATAATGGGTTGACTAAATCGCAGTCGGGCAGAGTCTCTGGATTCAATTTCTTAATCTCTACTATCTTCCCCGTCTTCCGGTACCAACCCATATTTATATGGTCGGTAGTCCGCTTATGTAAATTAGGTGTATCATACACAACAGACATATAATGAGAAAAGAGGACATGGAACATTTGAATGGATTGTAGAACGGGGGTGTTCTGGAAGATTGGAAAAGGGACACACGTTCCTAAAGGAATGGAACGTTGAGGAGAGCTGTGATCTAACACATTCTGAAAGTATATGATTTAAAACTTACTCAGAAGTGTGCGCAAGCATGTGGCTAGAATGTTAGTGTTTCGACCATAAAATCCGATTTATCAAGATAATTGCGGCCTGGGTGACTATGTACAGACTCGGGTAAGGACCTGTTGCCTTGCAGCTCAGACCAGAAGCCAGGTTCGTTAACCGAGTGCAGCTATTTCCAGTCAAACGCTTGTGGCTTAAAAATTACCCTTCGGTCAGATCGTTATCCACGAATTAAAAGCATGAGAATTTGTAGCAGTAGATTAGATTTTATTCTTAGGTTCTAAACTACTGCTACGAGCAAGTGGAATAGAAATGAGGGGTAGGTGAGGGGAAGGAGTGCTCAATTTATCGTCTGTTTTCCCCTATCCGTTCTCCGAGGTCCGCTTCGTCCCTCTGTGTGTGCCCTTTTGCGGGATGGTCAGTTTTATAGATAATAATTTTCTTTGTTTTGTTATCCTCGTCTAAAAAAGTAATTTGTCTTCATTCAGTGACTTTCTCTCAGTCTGAGCCTTTTGCTCTGTGATTTGAAGTTGACTTCACTTACTGGTAACCATCAAACGAAAGTAAATGTTCCAAATCCACTCCTGCGACAGCTCCAGCTGTTTTCAATTTAGTAAGACCTCGGCTGACTTATATTGCTACAGAACATCCAGTGACCGGGTTTACTTCTTAGTTGTAACCGATCTCAAGACAAGATTGCTAGCCATCATGCAACGTCGAAGTACCCTTTTGTGATCTTTATAGATAAGTGATTGTTGATGGCTTTTGTGAAAAAATGCTTAGTTGTTAAAATAAAGCAATTTTCTGCTTTCAAAGTGGTAACTATCTTAGTATTTAGATCACGCCTTGTGGTTATGCTTGTAGCGTAGCTGTTTTCGACAAAATTTCACTGAAATATACAAAATTTCGATGTTTTCCGATGAAAGCAAGATAATACAAACCTAAAGAAAAATGGTTTCAAAAAAGGTACATTATTTACATTATTCGGACTATTGTCCTCATCTTTGTCGCCATATTTATCACAACGTTTCGGTCGTTGTACGCTCCGGCCTTCTTCAGGTGGTTGGAATGTCGAACTGAACCCTTTATTTCGCTCACTGGGGTAGACTGTTCTAGTTTGATGGATGTCAGTTATCAGTTATCTCCTGTTAATTTCCTTCTGAAAGTTCTCGACTGCCTTAACCGGGTATTGAACTCATACTCTTTGAGTCCTGCCACTGGATCTAACCAACGCCTTTATGCAATGTATGCATTTCTGGGTATTATAAACCTAATGTCTTCAGCAACCATTTTTACCAGTGCTCATATTGCAATTTTTGCTGTTATCGTTTCATGTTTTTACCAGAGCTCATATAGCAACTTTGTTGTTATCATTGCTTTTCTCTGGCACTCCTTATTACTGTATATTGTATTCATTTCTATGCTTGGTCGGCTCAGAGGATTTTTGCGGCCTAGCATATGTGCTGATTCCTTAAGTTTACGAATTTTCCAATGGTTTTCCTTGTCTATGATCTCAACATGATCCTACAGAGGGCGGTGATCTCCCTTCTCTCTCCATATGTGGTCAGCCACGCCTGATTTTTCTACTTCCCCTCGTGTTACAGCTTTCTGGTGTTCTTGAAGCCTTACCTTGAGGGGGCAGCCTGTCTCTCCTTTATATTTCTTTCCGCAGCTGCACGGGATAGCGTACACACAGTCTTTAGTTATATTCTCCTCTATGGGGGGGTCTTACTCGGGAGAGATATCAGCGAAGTGTTGTCAAGATTTTGAAGTTTGTCCTGATGTTATATGGACCGCAGATCCTTTGTATTTTCTCTGATAACCCCTTCGCATAAGGCAGGCAGACTGTTTTCTGTGTTCTGTTGTCCTCCTCCTCTTGTACCCGCATATCCTAGTTTTGAGGGGCTGCTGCCATGTACCCAGGGTAGTTGTTACGTTGTAGGGTACTACTTGTACTGAC